AGTGTAGACACAGAAAATATCAACCACTAATATTATTGGTAGATAGCCAGTAGTAATCATCTAGGTTAAGAGAGCAGGGGATTCATAAGGATAGGCTCTGCAAGGTGGGTCCTTTACCAGTTTACTTGCTCAGTGTGAGCAAGAAGATGTGACCAAAATTGTATGTGGAAGCCTGATCCCAGAGGGCTTGTGTTCAGCAAGGGAATGTGAACTCTGTTCTAAAAGCTTTGGAGAGCCACTGAGAGGTTTTATGTGACATGGTCAGATTTGTGCTGTTATCTATCATCACAGGAATGTTTGGAAAGGAAAAGATGAGAGTTAGGAGAGAGCAGAGTACCAAAATGAAGAGGAAAAGTTGTGTGCTGCTCAAGTGACTTTCAGTTGGTGTTAGATTCTGCCAGGTCTTGAATAAGGTATGATACTCCTCTGCCTCCATGATGACTTAAATATTCACCACTTCCATTTGTGGTTTTAAAATACTATGGGGCTATTGTTCTTACCAAAGAATCCAGGTGCTTAATACTCTTAAGGGCTGCTAGGAATTTTCTTTCCAATGAATGACTCCTGGAAGTAACTCAAGCCCTATAGGTGGGATGAAAAGGCCAGTTTTCAGTATAGATGGATGGAAAGTGACATCTCTAGGCTTTTCTTGTAAATCAGGCACTCGTGGATTGCTTAGTTGTTTGCCCCTCAAGATATACGTTAGTCCCCATCTCTCTCTCCACTGCATCCCCTCTCTCACACCATGCATATAACAGCTGACATCCCCTTTGGGTACACTGTTAAAAATGACTCTAGGAGTAAGTGCACTGCCTTGTGTCTTGTGCCTCAGTTTCCCTTGCAATAAGAAGGTGATGATTAAACTGTCTTGTGTGAGAGTTGGATTTAGATTGGAAAGCAGCATGACTATATTGCACATCAGAAATGTCAAACTTCTTATTTGCCAAGTGTTCTTTAATTTAAAAGATATCTCCCAGATGGAGAACATCCCAATGGGTCTGCTCTTGACCAAGGGGGTGGATGGAACCAGTGTTCTCTTGTTTTAGCTCCTTGCCTTTGTGCCATCTGATAAGGTCAGAGGATTGCAAGGACTCCTCTGAGTCCAGTTTAAAAGCCAGAGATGGATATTCAAATACAGCTCAGTGGACCAGATGCTCCTGACAAGCAGAGTGAACATTTTCTCCCTCAAGGACCTTGCGTAACCTTCCATCCCTCATGACTGAATTGTGGTCAAGTAAGACTCAGGCAGCTGAAGGCACAGAACCTGTCTCATCCATCTTTGAATACCTCCCTAAGGCCCAACACAAGTTAGTTGAATGAATGAAAGCTTGTGATTACTTCAATCACTTCTTCTGAAGGTCCTAATTAAGTCTCCAGGTCTGCAATGGTTTATTTTTTAAAAATGAACAGTTGGCTCTCTTTTTGTTTTCTGAAATCTGTCTCCATGTGCTGCTAATGCTTCATTCTAGTGAGAGACTGGAAACTTCAGGAAGCTACAAAGTAGCCAGCCCACTGTGAACAGCCCATGTAGTGTCTTTCCGGGAACTCGAGGCCAGTTGAGATCCAGTTCACACAGAGCTGACCCTCTCACCACCCAGGATCCAGGCTCTCATTGCCAACTGAGCACCATTCTTTAGTGCTCCGGGGGCACCTTGGTTGACATGCTCCTGGTTACGCACAGATGCAGATGAGTGAGTGACTCCTTCACCTAGTAACTTTCCAAGTGCTTTCCCTATCCTGGGATTGTGCTAAGCATCCCTTATCTTCTACCTCATAGAATTATTGTATAAACTGGATACTACGCCATTGCCATTTTACAAATGTAGAAACTCAGACTTCTGAGGCAGAGCCAGTAAGTAACTTGCCCAAGGTCACTAAGACTTAGTGAGGTCAAATAACTTTCTCAGGGTAACAAAGCTGCTGAGAGGTGGAAACAGTGATTTTCACCCATACACAACATCCTTTACTACAGCACTCCAGAGAGACTAGAGGATGCAGTCATATACTTGCTTGACATTTATGAAGCATTTGCTATATGCCAGGCCAATAAATATCTATAGTCCTGTAACCAGGGTTCCAACACTGAGCCAGAAACACACAACTCTCTGCACTCAGAAAGTTACATTCTGGTGGGCTCAACCAGCTCTAGTTCTGCCATCTCATCAAAGTATCCCTGACCATTCTGGGTTCTAGTGATATCTTCTGTTTGTATGACCCAAGTACCATGTTTTTGATCTCTAGTAGTTCCCAGCTTCTTTTGAAACAAAGACAAGAGAGTAATAGACCTAATTTACAAGTTGCTTTTTCTTTCTCTGGTGGCAAATACTGTTTGCAAGAGTCACTTTACTTTTAGATGGGGATTGCACAAGTTGCCTCTTTTCATGGTCACATGAAGAGCAGCTCTGCCATGCTCATCTTATTTTGGTGTGGGGAAGGCTTATCATAAGTCTCTAGGAGGGAGGACTTATGTACTCTTCTTTGACCAATACCGTCTTGGTATTTTTCAGGGCAACTCTTAAATGCTTGGAAAAATATGAATTATTGTATATATCTTATGATATAATATTAATATTAATGACCATCTTTACTGAGCACTAACTTTTCAATGGGTATTGTATCAAATACTCTACATCCAAAAACTCATCTAATTTCAGCATACCCTATTATTACTTTCTTATCCTCATTTTCCAGATGAGAAAAACAAGACTCAAGTTCACACATTTAGGAACTGAGTGTCTGGAGATTCAGCCAATTTGCCCTGGAAATGATGATAAAAGGAACTGGAGAATCCACCTATTCTATTCCCGGTCTTCTGCTCTTACCTTTCACTGCACTGGAATGATGGCTGAGAGCAGGGTGCTCTCTCTAGCCTCACTGCTCTCTTCCAAATGGCACCCACTTCCCCACTTTCTTGATAGCCCTGGACACAGGGATCCTTTTGAAGAGTTCTTGCTACAAGAATCTTGTGTAAACAACCACTGAACCTTTGCAATGGTAGCCAAGGAACAGAAACCCAGGGCTGGGGCAACACAGGATGCACTGACATTATTTTAATTTCCTTGTTAGTACCATTCCATACATTGTTGCCATCCTACTGTACATGAAGTTGTGATGAATTAACTCTGAGTAAGAAAAGTGACAGGTTAACTTGCCTTTTATTTGTTTTCCATAATAAATGGAATATTTCCTTGAACACTCTGAGTCATTAACATTTCAATTTATTCATTTTTTTTCTTTCTGGCGTCCTAACATACATAATTATATCTGCCGAATAACCATCAACTTTGATGGCTCCTTCCATGCTCCTAAGTGCCGCTTCCACTGCCTTTGTTAGCCTGTCGGGCTGAGGAAGCAGTCTGCTTTTCTATGCCATCCTGCTTACTTCTTGCTCATACAAGGTTAAACAGGGAAACAAGGCCAGTGAATGAAGTGATGAGGAACTGGGTGAGGACCCAAGCTAACTCACTTGATGCTTGATGTGTTCTAGGCTCCTTTCCAAGAATGTTGCATGTATTAACTTATTTAATCCACCTATGACCCTCTGAAACAGAGTCTGTAATTATCCCCACATCCACCACTTTAGATGAAGAAGCTAAGACACAGAGAGACTAAGCGACTTGTTCAAGGTCACAGTAGGTGGGTAAGTGGCCAGGCCCATCTTTATACTTATGCAGTCTGGCTCTAGCATTGGACACTCTTGCTTCAAAGGTCTGCTTGTCTATTCCTTTCATTTCCCCTTTCCTTTCCTTTCCTTCCCTTCCCTTCCCTTCCCTTCCCTTCCCTTCCCTTCCCTTCCCTTCCCTTCCCTTCCCTTCCCTTCCCTTCCCTTCCCTTCCCTTCCCTTCCCTTCCCTTCCCTTCCCTTCCCTTTCCTTTCCTTTCCTTTCCTTTCCTTTCCTTTCCTTTCCTTTCCTTTCCTTTCCTTTCCTTCCTTTTCCTTCCCTTTCCTTTCCTTTTTCCTTTCCTTTCCTTTCCTTTTTTATTTTCTTTCCTTTCCCTTCTTTCCTTTCCTTTGGGACCTGATGCTTACATATCAACTAGTACAGCTGTTGGGTTGGATCTGTGGGTTAAAAAGGATGGGAGGAAAATGGCAAAATTGTAATGGTGTAATTAAGTACTTTTCCTCATTCATGCTTCAAATCTCCAAGCTGTAATATTAGCCTAAAGGTCCATGGCCTTTGCATCATTGTTAGCTTTAAAACACATGAAGGAATAAGAAAGTATAAATTTTAATGAGAGCGTTTAAAATGTCTGCCACCTCAGGTCTTGCTATTTGAAGATTAGGACTGAAACTGTGCAGGCCATCAGGCGTTGCTTAAAACTAGGACACATTCTGAATTTATTGCCTTACAACTTTGAGTTGCCGGTAAGTTTTTAAGTGGGCTTGCATGAATCAGGCTCTGAATATGGCTCAGTGCATTTGTTGGTGCACATCAAACTCTGCCTGGGCACACGCCAGGAGGGACCTAAGTCGTGACAGAGATGTGCGCATGTTACCTTAAAGTGATACATCCACATAATTATGCCTATGCTTTTGGCCTTAGAAGCACAAACCGAGGCTACTGATGTGGCCAGGGAAAATGGCTCAAAGGAATATTTTAATTTTAGAAAATAAGCTTCGCTGTCAAAGGAATTTCCCTCTTTAATTCATTAAAAAAACTACCACATTCCTTTTAAATGAGAATAAAACTAATATTTCTTAATGCTTGTTCATCGTTAATATTATGCCAATTATTGCATTACTTTTGGCTGATAAATATTCAGAGGATAAATGAAGCCCACAAGATGGATTAATTCTCTAGCAGTACAAACAAAAACTTTCAATATTTTATATCACATAATTAAATGCTGTTTGTTGTTTCTAGAACCAGAACTTGGGACATGCTAATTAATTGCTTTAAGAAGACAGTTAGACATGCTTCGTGGTTGATATTCAGAATCAGATATTTATAAACCCTGTACAACACAGTTGATGAATAACACTTGCAGAATAAATCCTACCTGCAGAAGTCTGGTGGCACCATGCCATAAACGTTGATTCTGTCACAGAGCTCTAGAGCGATCGTCATTGTGAACCAGCCAGTGCTGAGCCAAGTGTTGGAGATCTTCCTGGAAGGAACAACGATTAAGTCCACAAACTGGTAAAGGCCACTCCTATCATTGATCCTTTCTGCAGCAAGGCTGACTGTAAAATCTCTCTCTGTATCACTATCTCCATTTGGAAAATATCTGGAATTTTACCAAATAGAAATCTCTTACCAACACCACTATATTACACAGTACAATCAAAATTGATATTGGTGCTCCATCACGGTAGATTTTGACACTAAATGATGCCCAAGGGACTTCTACACTATCAGAAATGGTGATCAATGTTTCAGTGCTTAAGTCTATCTTACCACAACTCTATTTCTTGTAAGAGGAAAGTTCCAAGACCAGCAGATGGCATAATGGTTACGTAACTGGAAACTCACATAGTCAGTGGGTTTGAGTCTCAGACCCACTGGCTTAAAACTCATGCTGGGTGCATGTACATGTGCACTCAAAATCCTGAGAGGAGAATGGAGGAAAAGGGATTGCAGCATGGCCATCCCTCCTGGAGGGGGTGGTTATTTCTTTCTGTCTCTATGTCTCACTCTGTCTCTCCAGTGAACACACACTATCTCTCTCTTTAAAAAAAAAAAAACAACAAAGAAAAGAAAAAAGAGGACATTCCCTATGTGACAACTTTTATTAACTCCAGTACTTGACTAACTAAAAATTGTTGTTTTCCAGGAAGAATAGATAATAAGAGCTTATAAAGTATGTATAAACATGCTGATATGTCTATTTATCGATCTTTTAGATTAAAAGCTTGCTTTCAAGTAGGCTAACACTAATATATTAAAAAATATTTTTTATTTATTTGTTTCTTCCAAGAAAGAGAGAAATGCAACTCTAACAGGATCTTATGCCATGATCCATCCCCAGTCTTAGTCCGCCAGGATCGTGAGCTCATATGTACCTGCCCAGCAAACCCAGGGCTTCACCATATGGGTCCAGTTGCATTACTGCACCACTGCCTGGTCCAACATCAATGTCTTTGCTTAGGGTGTGTACATTTATTTGTGGAGGGGCTAATGACCAGAGGAAAAAGGCCACAAGAATATTTACATTTAAGTGAGCATTTGCTTTATTGTACCTTGGAGCATTCAGGAACTTCTGAAAATTTGTAACAGAAGACCAAAAATGGACAAAATTTATGGAATGAGTCTGCTCTACATCCATTAATCTGTCTATTGAGACATCTGTATTGAGCTCCAACCGTATGACAAGCCTAAGGCTAATTGTGGAGATGAATGTCAAGGTCCAATTTGACCCTGTGAGAATGACTCGGTCTACCATGCCACGCTGCTGTGGGTATTAATATCAATTCTTCGGGGGTTGCTGCGTTTCTTTTTTCCAGTGCTATGGCACGCCTCATTAGCCAGTTTCAAACACCTTATCCCCAAGGTCAGACTGTCTGACTTTGCCCAGCCCCAGTGCCATATGTGATGTGAATAACAGAGCTGCAGAAAGGCTTTTCTATTTGCACTGTGTAGCACTCTTCCCTGAGAAGAAGGAAGACTTCTTTTAAAAAGCAGTTTGCATTATTTCCTTTTCACATAAGGACCAAAAGAAAAGAAGAGGACAGTTTAATAGATCTTTTGTTTTGTCTAATATCTGCCAGGCATGGATGATTTTGTTATTCCTGTATTCATGGCTTCAGCTTTCTAGTTCTTAAGCCCTTTGCTCAGTTCCCACTCGTTCTATTGTGTTATGACCCAGTAATAAATATCCCAGGCAGTAGATTTCATACCTCGTAAAGGTGGGAATAACATGGACTTCAACCTTTCCTGTTTCTGTCATAACCAACTGGATGACCTGAGGCAGGTTATTGCTGATCAGTTATTGCTGACCTCTGATCTTTGATTTCTATAATCAGGCACAAAAAGCTCTATTTTCAGGGCTATTTGAGAACTAAATGAGAGAACACTTAGGAAAAGCATCAAGTTTGGAGTGTTGTTATAGCAAGACCTATTCCTCTTCTCATGGTTGCTAAGTTGAGCAAAGTAAGTAATTCAGCCATTTATTTCAATGCTTTTTAGCATTCATGATGAAAATCCTTCCAACACTTTTCTACTGAAGTTGTTAGTGGGAGTTACCATCAGCAGTTAGGGCAGTAATTATACAATTCAGAAATCTCCAGTCTACATAGGTGTTTACAATACCCTTTCTTTTTCACTAAGGTTATATATTAATAAGACCCTTAAAACTGAAGGAGTTGGTGTGGAGCAGAGCTCACTGGATGGTGAAGGATAAGGGGATGAAGGCCTTCCTTTAAGTTAGAGCCTGTTGGGGTCTGGGCTCAAGTGGCATGGTGGTTAAGGTCACTGGACTCCCACATAGCTGACTGAGGTTTGAGTCCTGGACCTGGTGGCTTGCTTTCTCACTCCCCTCCACCCCACAGACACACTCTGTCCCTCTCTAGTCAAATATAAATAAATAAATAATTCTTAAAAAATAATAAAGTTAGAGCCTGTTTTCACCTATTTTCTGTACAATGCATTGGCTAGTTATTCCAGACCTAATCTGTGTGAATCAATACCTAGCAGGATATGGGACTTAGGAAGGGAATGATAGCTTGTGTAGCTCACTTATATTCCCAGGATCCTGATCTGGGAATCAGACCTCAGTTCTCTATATCCTCTATGCTTATAGAGCTATTGGGAACACCGGGGCGGGAGGCAGTTTCCTAAGGGCAGAAATTCCCCCTTAATTTTGGCTTTCTTTTGTGTGATGAAGTAGAGATCACATACTGAAATAGAGGAATAGGTGGCTCTACAGAAAAAAGCTTTTGGGGTAAAAATGGGGAGAATACCAAGTAAAGGACTAAAGAAACTGAAGAGTTCTTTAAAATACCACTTAAAATTCCTAGACTTCCTAAATAATAGCCTTTTAAGATCACGTGCTATGTAATGTATCTTCTTTGTGCTGTCTTTCTGAAAAGATTTGAACTCTTTTTCCAACAAAGGAATATCTACTGTTTTTACACTTAATCAGTTGTAATGAAAGAATATGAAGAGCTGTCATGTGCTTATTAGGGAAAATTATCAGATATTCTTTTATATGATGAAGTAACACACTGAGCTGATAATTCTATAGTGCACACTAAATTACAATTAAAGGCCTTTCTGCTCCACCAGAATCTCATTTATAATCTCTATGGAAATATTCTTCCTGCAGTTATTTCATTTATGCTTCCTTTATCTAATTACTATAATATTGGTTCTGAATCATATTTTTCTAATGTACCCTTATTCAATTATAAAGTTATTTTCAAGTACAGTTACTTTCCAATATCAGAGAATATCACTTGGCCATCTATGTCATTTGTCATGCTTTTTAATTCAGATTGTTCCTATGACACTTTTTCCCCCCTCTACTTTTAAATAGAGTAAAACTTCTATAAATCAAAATCTATTGAGTTATTCCATTTCTTCAAAATATTACCCTGAAATGAATGTCCTGATCATGAAATAGGCACATTAGATATTTCATAATTTATGTGTCTTCAATACATACTACTGTTTTGTTGGGTTTCGAGGAAAGCATATATAGAGAAGATACTGTTAGAGCCCCAAATGTTTTCTGTTTTCATTTACTGAAATAACTTTGTTTTAAAGAGCCATTTCTATGCCCTCCCCCACCCAGTGTAGGCTATAGGTTAAGATTAGAGACATAGAAGAATTTGAGTCAATATAATATTAGGTATTTATAAAGACAGTTTCCTAAAGATAAGTGGCACAAAGTTTCTAGAAGTGGTAACACACTTTGGCACCCTACAAATTCTTAGTGTGATTCCCCTGAGTTGGGACTGTCTGACTTCTAGGAGATGAATGTCTGCAGAAAGAATGCCCAGTAGCCAAACCACAAAGATCTGGCTCCCTCCTATCAGCTAGGACTGTAGGAAGATAGATATGGTATGTGAAAGATTTTAACTGGTCAGATTTTAGTGAGTAGAATATATCTTTTTTAAAAAATGTTTAAAAATAATTATGTAAGTTTATTTAGTATTATTATTATTATTTTAAAATTTGCTATAGGGCACAAGCACAGACAGAAAGAGAGGGAGAGAAAGTGAGAAAGCAAGCCACAAGGTCCAGGACTCTAACCATTGTCTGCTATGTGGGCGTCCAACGCCTTAACCACCGTGCTACGTTCTGGTCCCAAGTATGATATATCTTGATATGAGATCATTTTCTAAAACACCTCAGTGGCGAAAGGGTGGGGTAACTTAGTCTCCAGGTTATTAACTTAAAATGATCCCTTAAGCAGATCCAGAACAATGTATAATTATCCTGAATAGCCAGCCCTGTAGCAGTGTTTCAGGAATTCTTAAATTTGGCAAACAATCATTAAAAATAAATGTTTTATATTAAAGAGACTACTTATTTTGAATTTTTCAATCAGTAAAAAATAAAACTGATAATAACCTCTTCCTTTTTCTTCTTCTTTTAATTGCCAGAGGACATATCTATTAGCCAGAAGAGACAGAGAAAGGGAGATAACATCCCCAAATGGGGTGTGGTCACAACTCAATTCCTTCTCTTCCATTTCTCTATCCTGTTGGGATTCTGAGCATGTATGAACATGTACCTGCATGTTTTTCAAGTCACTTGGGGCTGGTAATCAAACCATAGTTAGTCATACGGGATCTAGCTTCCCCCAACCAGTAGGCTACAAGGCCTTCCTTCTCTATCTCTTATAAAATGATTTCTTGGTTAAAGAACTAATTCAGGTGTGTGACAGTCTCTTATTTGTGGGGTTTAAAGAGATTTTTGTGGCAGTTTGTGAAGACAACCAGGATTCACAAACCAGCACCAACAGCCAGACCCCATGTCCACACCTGCCTGGACCAACCCTTCAACAGTCACAAGGGTTCCTGGATTTAACAATAGTTCTGGATTTAGAATGATAGCTCTTCCATACATGCAATTTGAAGACACTAGATTTTGATCTTTTCTTTCAGACTCTGCTTTCTAATAATGAGCTGCCTATGTTAGCCAAACAATGGGTTTAGCACTTCATATTCTTTGTTTCACTTATCCTATCTCTTTGGTTTTAAGATAAGCAATTGATTCCGACAGTTTCTCTAAGAGGGATAAATCATATCACTGAACGTACATTGAAGATAAAAGCACATATTTTAGAATTAAGGAAATAGGAAATATACTTATTACGCAGGTCCACTGATTGACAGTCACTATCCCCTTTTTACATGTATGGTCACTGAGCCTTTGATAGGTTGGATAACTTGTCCAAGGCCACACAACTGAAGGGTGGTAAAGCCAGAGCTCCTGACCAGAACCGTGTGTTTGGACTACACTGCACACTGCCCTCCATACCTAGCCGTCATTTTCCCCCCTGGATGATGCCAGCTTAAGACCCTACATCTCTATACTTCATCTTGTGCCACTCCCTACCAGCCTCCTTGTTGGGACTGGGGCAGAGGTAGCTTCTCTCAAGAGAAGTCTCTCTCCCCCTCCCAACTCCTTTCTTACATGGATAAATACTTGTTGGCCTGGGTCTCAGCTTAATATGCCTTTCTGAGAAAGCCTTTCTTTCCTTTCTTAGGGCAATGATTTAAAAATATTTTGACCTATAGTAAGAAACATATATCATTACTGATATATATATATATATATATGTATATATGTATATATAAACAAGATACATATATATGTGTTTTTTATAGGGTTATACTTATATATTAGTTTTCACTTCTTTTTTTTTGAGAGATTTTTGTTATAGGGTGTGTGTACTCACTGGAGAGACAGACAGAAAGTGAGAAATCACCTCCCAAGGGGGATGGCCACACCACAGTCCCCTCTTTTCTACTTTCTTTCTGGGATTCTGAGGATGCATGCACATGTTCCTGGCATGAGTTTCAAGCTACTGGGTCCAGGACTCAGACTCTAGTCAGCCATGTGGGAGTCCTGCGCCTTAACCAACATGCCACCGACTGGCCCCTCGTTTTATTTTTAGAAGTGTATAGTTGAGTGCTTTTTAGTGTATTCATAGAGTTCTTCAACAATCACCACTAATTCCAGAACATTTTCATCACTACACAAAGAAGCTCCTACATGTATATGTATGTATAAAATTGAAATAAAGGTTTTTTATGAAACAATATTTTGCTTTACTTATTATGTGAGAGGAATTCTGTATTATCTGTTCTATTCCATTCCACTTTACCCTATTCTTTTCATTACACCAGAAAAAAAACAAAATCCTTCATGCTTTACGGCAGTGATTTTGTCTTACTACTGAGCTGTAACTAACACTTTGGAAACCACTACCCCAGACCTGGCAGGTCTCCTTGCCCTACGTGTTATAGCACCATTTTCTTTCCCACAGCACAGTGGCCACTACTGCGTGAAAGTCTGAGACTTTATGTTCTTGAAGAGCAGGATCTTGTTTCAGACTGTATCCCTAGTGCTAAGTGCAGTACCCAGCAAGTAGTAGGTACGCCATAAATATCATTTGACTGGATTAGTGTGCGCCTTTGAAAGGGAAAAAATAAACTCACATAGTTCTTTTTGGTTACTGTTGACATAAGTAATGTAAAATGCAATAAAGCTATATTATTTGTTTATTTTTAAAAATTCACCATAGGGAGGAACATGTAATTACCAGAGAGAGACAGAGAAGAGACAGAGAGGGAAGGAAGAGAGAAAGAGAGAGAAGGAAAGTGAGAAACCCCCCACCCATGCCACAATCTCTTCTCCTCCATTTTCTTCTTAGGATTTTGGACATACACATACATACACATTCAAACCACCAGGTCAGGACTCGAACTGTACAGTTGGCCATGTGGGATCCAGCAGCTTTAACCACCACACCACCTGGCTGGCTCTTAATAAGGCTATATTACAGTATATTGCATTGTATACCAATGTAGACCAGTAGCTTCCCCCTCAAAAATAAGACTTTGTCTCTGAATTATTCACACAATTGTCCCCATTCTTCATTTCACTTTGCCTTAAAAATTTAGCCTAGTCACCAGGAGGACCGTAGAGGTGACCTCTATAAATGACATGACCAGAGGAGTTCACACACAGACCTTTAGAAGAAACATTGCTTTTGGTGAATGACTGGTTCACATTGACTAACACACTCTCACCCTCCCTGTCCCCTCTGCCCCTCTTCTACCTGGTGCCTTTGTACCTGTCTTTGCCAGTCTCCTGCTTGAAGAGCTCATCAAACTGCAGCATCTTGTGGCGCGTGATCATGTAGGCCTTCAGCCGTGGCAGCACCTGGCTCAGGAGCTGCAGGTTGTTGTAGACCTGGCCCTTGCCGTCCCGCCGCATGTAGCTGCTGGGGCCCCAGAAGATGAATACGGTTCCCTGGCTCACATTGAGAAGGTCATGGCGGTTGCGGAGGATCCTCTGGATGCTGGAATGTGCAATGACCCTCAGGCTGGTGCGATTGCCCACATCACGCCCGTAGCCACGTGTGGGGGCGTCGTTCATACGGATGACACACTCTGTCTGGTCAATCTGGGGGCCTTGCTGACTGCGTAGTAGATGCCCTGAGCTGGTGACCAGGGCACAGTCCCTGCAGTGCATTTTCAGGGGCTGGAAAGCAGAAGAGAAGGACATGGTCAGGGGCAAAGGGCTTGACTTTCACTAGCGGAGGACTTCCCTGTTACAGCAGAAGTACACTCATTGCTCTCCTCCCTCTCAGGCCACAACGTGGCCCTTCTGCTGCTACGTCTTCAGCCCTTACATCCTTCCAAACCATGACAAGGAACATTGGACAAGTGGGAGAGAGAGCGGCACTGACCTGTCAAACACTGGGTGAGGGACTTTGCTGACGTTAAGTACCCAAGTCGACACAGAACCAGCAAGGTTGCTATCGTGGCATTTTACAGATGAAGATTCTCAGCTCTAGAGATGTTAAGAAATTTGCCCAAGGATGCATAGCTAGCAGGTAATAGTCAGGCTTTCAAAATTAGGTCTTTCAGACTCCAAAGTTATCCCCAAGTCGAAGCAAAGAGTTTACTACAAATTGCTGTGATGCTAGTTTTGATGCTTTTAACTTACCTTATTGAAAGGTAAGCACTTATTAATATTCTTAGATGCTGTTCAAATATGTTTCTCCTAAATCAACATTGTTTAAGAACCACACGGGAAATGGCAGACAGATTGTAACCCATTAATGACATAACTTTGAAGTAACGATTAGGATTTTTTTTTCCTCCCATTTTACAAGAAGAGGAGATAAATTGAGTCAGCCCATTTTCATAAATGTAAAGAACGTCTCGAGCCACACACCTCATCCATGCGCTGGAGGGCCTGGGTTCTTCTCTCATCTGCAGTGAACGTGTGTCCCCAGGGAGCCCTGGCCAGGTAGTGCCCACAGGGACAACTCCAGTGGTGGCGCTCAGCCACAGCCTGAACCAATGATTTGCTTTCTGAACACCTACATTCTAACAAATTAAACATTCCCTTGTTCATGTCTAATGAGAAATATCTCCTCGTTGCTGTTTGAAGATAATGTAATTAGGGCCTGAGGCCAAGGCTAGTGAGTGCAAAAGAAAATGACAATCAAGATGTTCTGAAAGTACATTGCCGTGTTGGATTTTCCCCTGAGCCTCTGCCCTTCTTTTTTAACTTTGAACAGGACACAGTGGCTCCCCACACAGCCTCTGGAAATCAAGTCTAATTTAACACTGTATGTATTCAGTCTTGAATTTACTCTGGAAGTTTCCTCAGCCTTGCCCTAGTCTTCAGCAGACTGAGAGCACCTGGGAGAAGCCACTTTCCCTCACTGCATGGTGCCCAAGAGCATTGGCTCTGGGATACCAGGCTACATTTGGTCTTGTTTCCAGCACGTATTAGCTGTAGGAAGTTGCTAAGGCACATGATCTCAGTTTCTTATCTCTAAGTGAGGGTGATAGTTTATCTTATCTTGGTAATATGAAGCGAGCTAAGATATGTACAGGACTCGATTGAGCTATTTGAAATTGCCAATACTTGACCTGCAAAAATGTAACTGAACCCAGTCCTTAGCATAGGACCTGTCACGGTGAGCAATGAGTACATGCAGGTTGTACTAGAATTATAGGTCGGTGTGGAGCGCATTGTAAGTACTCAGTAAATCAGTACTTGCAATTTCCAGTTCACACATGCATGTTCATGACTGAGAGAAACAGAGAGACAGAGAGAGAGAGAAGGAGACAGAGAGAGACTGACACCCCCAACAGGATGTTGATGCCTCTATCCACCCCAACTTCTGCCAGGCTGGATCATGGCCTGTGGTGTACTCAGGGAGGTATACGGATGTGAACCAGAGTCTTCCCATGTAGGTCAGCATGGCAGAGCATTGTGCTTTATTGCTGTACCATCGTCCGCCCCCTGCCCCAAATGAGAATACTGAAGGCTAGAAAAATGGAGCAAACTACTCCAGTTCGTACAGTTAGAAAATGGCCAAGCTGGGATTTAAACCCGAGAAATCTTCCTGCAGAGCCAATGGGATTTACTATTACACCATCGCAGTGCTGTAGAATAAATGCAAAGGGATATTTGCTTACTTCATCCCCTACCTCCTTGCCTTTAGTCCAGAAAATTCAGTGATGCTATTTCTTTCTTTTTATTTCTCTCTTAAGTTTATTTCTTCCATGAACAAGAGAGACAGAGAGACACACAGAGAAACAGGCACCCCAAAAGTGTCTTGATCCACCCCTAACTTCAGCTAGCCTCAGAACATAGGCACACACTTGCCAGGGGAGTTCAAGATTTCTCTGGATGTGAACTTGGAACCTTCCCATGTGTTGTATTTTACCACTGTGCTGCTGTCTAGCCCCAGCAAACTATTTTTTCCTCTTCTTTTTTTTTTTCTTGTTTTAGTTTTTGCCATAGGGCTTGTGTGCTTGCTGGTTTTCTCTGGATGTGAACTTGGAACCTTCCCACGTGTTGTATTTTACCACTGTGCTGCTGTCTAGCCCCAGCAAACTATTTTTTCCTCTTCTTTTTTTTTTTCTTGTTTTAGTTTTTGCCATAGGGCTTGTGTGCTTGCTGGAGAGAGAGAGAGAGAGAGAGAGAGAGAGAGAGATAGAGAGACTCCCAGAGGATAGCCATGCTGCAGTCCCTTCTCCTCCATTTTCCTCTATGGGTTTTTGGGCATGCACACGTGCCCAGAGTGATTTTAATATGGTTGGATCCGGAATGCAAACCACAGTTGACCATGTAGGAATCCTGTGCCTTAACCACCACAGCTCCTCCTGGCCCCCATGATGCCGCTGCTTTTTTTTTTTTTTTTTTTTTTTTTTTTTTCTTTTGGGGGGCAGGCTCAGGAGAG